ATTAATAATTAACATTTATTTATTTATCTTTGATCCATTTATTATTATTATTATTATTTATTTGTTTTTACAAATATTTATACACTCTTCACTAGGAAGCTGTGGATGAAAACATTCACTAATTGAATACATGAAAATGTAGACAAGTCACTAATGTCAATATTATAAAAAAACACATTCTTAAACAACTTATACATGAATATTTGGAATTGGGCAAGACATTTTCATTAGTATAAAAATATATAAAATATGACATCTACCGTATTAAAATTTGTTAGCAATAAAAAACAGCTCCTCAGCTTGTGTTCAGGACAGACCACAGAGTTCCATCTGTTCTCCACCATGAACATTTCACATGCATTATCAAATATCATAACGCTTTTATACATGATATTACAGAGGATGGATGAAGATGGTTTTACCTGCTCACTGTCCATGCCCTTCTCCATGTAGTAAATTTTGTAGTTCTGGATCTCGCCTGTGAGGGGCATATCCCAGCTGAGACTCACTGTGCTGGGGGACGTGACCACTGCCTGTAGGTTTGGAGCAGGACCAGGTACCTGGACTATTACATAGAATGGAGAAAAAATAGAAAAACAACATGATTTAATTTGATTGTGTTTTGTTTTATTACTGGCACCTTTTGTCTGTCACTGTTTTTCTTTGATAATTCCATTGATGGTTTGGCAATATTGTTTGTAAAACAGTCACACCAATAAAGCACTTTGAAATTGACTTGAATAGAGAGAGTGATATCTCTTCTCAGCTGAGCATATGACAGTGGCATGTGTCGAGACACCACTGGCAGAAAGCAGACTAACACACGCCAGCTCAAACTGCAGGATTGACGTGATTTAATTTGCTTAGCAGAGCGGAGAGAATGGAAATGAGATTCTATGTTGCTTAACTTTTGTTTACTTGCTAGGGTCATGAATCATTACATTCAATTATAGGCTCCGATGAGTGTCCGTTAAATCTGTTGTTTTTCCAACACGCTCACAACTGACATGCCTTCAGGGAGTCATCATGTAGGGCCAATCTAAACGGAGCTCTACATTAAATGAAATTTAATATAATTTAAATAGCATGGACATAAAACAACTGGCCAATTTTTAAGTAAGTTGGCAAGTAGTCATTTAGCAGACACTTTTATCTAAAGCGACCCGCAATACACTTATTACAGGGACAATCCCACTGGAGAAACCTGGTGTTGAAGGAATAGTTTGCCCAAAATTTTTTCTTTCATAATTTACTACCCGTGTGACTTTATTTATTCCATGTAACCCCAAAGAAGAAATTATGAATAATGTTCATGCTGTTCTTTTTCATTAAAAAAGAAAAAAAAAAAACAACTATCTATAACAGAAATAATATAGCCTACTTAGAATAGAATATGCTTAAGTGTGAATTGAATTTAATGTTTTCAGACACTTAACTGCACGTTAATTGCAAATACATTAAAATGTATTATAATTTATATTTATATTAAATGCATTTAGCTGAAATTTTGAGAGCTTTTTGATCTGCTTAAGTATGACTTAAGTACATCTTCACATGTAATTTTATAATGACTTCTTCTGTCTTCAAAATATGGACAGTAACGTGTACTGCCAAAATTACAGACAAGCATTTATGGTAAACTCAAATTTACTTTAAAACCAGTTGAGTCCTCTGCACAATGTGACTTTGCTGCAGCCTGGAATTGAACTGCTGGTTTCGTCTGGCCAGAGGAGAACTGGCCCCCCGACTGAGCCTGGTTTCTCCCAAGGTTTTTTTCTCCATTCTGTCACCGATGGAGTTTTGGTTCCTTGCCGCTGTCGCCTCTGGCTTGCTTAGTTGGGGACACTTAATATCCAGCGATATTTCATTTCCGGCGATATCGTCGCCTTGATTGCACAGATACTATTTAAAAGTTTTCAGTTAAAGGCATGACATCACCGAATTCAATGATGAACTGCCTTTAACTGAAAAATGAGTGTTTACTATTGTCATTTTGCATTATTGACACACTATTTTCCTAATTAATGCTGTACAGTTGCTTTGACACAATCTGTATTGTTAAAAGCGCTATATAAAGGTGGTGACTTGACTTGACTTTAATGTAATTTCAAGTGAAACTTGTATTTCATGCTATTTATGTCACACCCATGTTTTGTGTTTGTTTTCCTCCCCCACGTGCTCCATGTTCTCCCTGTGACCTAGTTTCTCCCTCGTGTTAATTGTGGTTATTGGTTCCAGGTGTTTCTTGTTAGCTTCCTCGTTTAGTTCTTAGTATTTATGCCCTGTGTTTTGCTTTGTCCAGCGTCTAGTGTTAAACGTCTATTCCCCTGCTACGTGTGCGTGTGTCTGGATAATTGAAGTTTGTTCTTTGTAAATGCCCCCACGTCTCCTCGCTCCTTCGCTCCGCGCTCCAACACAGAAGCAGCATCATGACAATTGAAATCATTTGTAAATATTTTTCTAATTATTCATTTGTAATTTGTTGCAATTTAGTACATTAAAAACATATTACCTTTAATAAGATATATATATATATATATATATTATATAACACCATATTGATATTGAATAATCTACAGTTCAAATAATCAAATACTTCATTAGTGCTTTCATATGTTAGTATGTAAGTACTTCTTAAAAACACCACAGAAGATTATTAAAAGATAATGGCTTAAAATGTACTTAAAACATTAACATTGACGTTTTTACACTTGACATTATTACAAAGTGCACTTTTTAAAAGTGTACTTAAGCGTGTTTTGAAATATGTCATGAAAGTGTGCTCTCTTTAAGTACATTTAAGGGGCCTTTTATTTTATTAATATTATATTATCAATATATTTTCAAGATTTGAAGTACACCACAAGTGCACTTTTAATATAATTAAGCACACTTCTTACTAGTCAAGGCAGGGGCCATCATAAAATTGCTTCATATGTTTCACTGACTATATTCCCAGTCCTCTGAAGTCATACAATGGCTTTATGTCAGGAACAGACTAAAATATATTCATTATTTGCTGGAAATCACCACAAAGTGACCATATAGCTTCGGTAGACTTGAAATATAGCCTACAAGTAGTATGGACTGTCTTTATGGTGCTTTTATGTCCTTTCTAGAACATGACAGTCTATGGTCACTATATGCATACTTTCATTGCATGGGGAAGAGCAGCATGAACACTCCTTAAAACATCTCCTTTTGTGTTCCACAAGGACTTCAACCAGCATCCAGCAAGTTCTAGCCGCTTCACCACATGTCTGCAATGACTGTTTGATTACATTCATCCAGTTATGGTTACCCTGAACCATCTTTCATGCTCGAGCTCTAATATAAACTGCATTACATGAATCACTTTTCGAACTTTGATCAGGCGTTTCTGGCATCTCAAACGACAGAGAGAAATCACTTTATCTCAGTGCCACAGACATCCATTCTGTCCATCATCAACGCTTGCTTTTGATACCGATGTCTTACAGGATGGGATGGGGCGCCTACACTGGATTAAGTGCGCTCTACGAGTGTGTATGTGTGTCTAGATGACTTGTGCTCAGATTCATTCATAATGTTCACAGCAATATGTGTGTCAGCCTCAGAGGCTGATCTCCACGCAGCAGGATTCCCGGGAGTGCCAAAATCCCGCTAACACACATTATAAAGTGCTTATAGCAGTCAGAGCCAAGGACGCACAGAGGAGCAAGTCTGACCCAGAAACAGCTTCTCCTGTGCTGTGTTTGGGCTGATAATGTTTCACGTTGATGGAGTCAGGCCATATACCTTCAGCAATGTTCAAGAGATCTGTTTGCTTAAAAGCCAGCAGGTGTTTACTTGTGCTTACTATATAATGAGATTTTAAACTGACATTGAGGCATTGGGGAGGTTTTGGGAAAGAAAACCTCCAGAGAAAATGTTCTGCATAATCTCGGAGGCCCAAAACATATTCTAGACAAGCATGTGAGCGTTAAAATCCAACTACGCAAACTTGATTTCACGCATTATAGCCTTCTGAAATGTGTCAGAGCGTAATTTGTAATGCAACTGTTTTAATTAGTCCATAAATCTCATTTGAACACATTCTAACTGGTATGTTATCATCAAGTGGAGATCTTACCTTCAGGCTGGGTGGCGACCGTCAGAGGCGCTGAGCTCTCTCCAGGGCCATTTCTGTTGTGGGCCATCACGCGGAAGGAGTACTTGGTGTCTGGCATGAGATTCTGAATGGTGACTTGCATTTCTCCTGGACGGCTGGTGTTCACTATCCTCTCCCTATAGAGCATCAGAGAAACAAACGTGATATGAGACTGAAACAGGAGCTGACTGCTGATTCACTGCTTCAAAGCTTCTCTTATTCTTCTGTAGTCAATAACAGCTCATACAGAATGGCATTATAAATATTAATAAGAACAACATGTGACTTAAAATAATAGCAAAAAAACAACAAAATACAATCATCAATAGCATTCACAATTTAAGGCTTCTTGGAGGGTGAATGTCATGAAAACATGTCTGGGTCACATATCACTACACAGTCAAAATTAAATGTATTTTATTTGTATTACATATTTATATATACACTGCTGAACGTTTTAATGTTATATATATATATATATATATATATATATAAGCCAATTTTATGCAATTCATTTTTTTTATTTTTGCTTTAATGATATTATTTTACTCACACGGAACCATAAAAAATCTTATTACCATAATGCATTTTTTCCTTCACTGTTTTTAAAAAAAATTATTATTCTTAATAGTGATTCTCATTAGATTCTCTTTACTGTAATGCAGCATTTTAATGCAGCATTTCTAAGTAAATTAATAAAAAAAAGTAAAATAAACACTAATACATTTATTTATTCAAATATGCAACAAAGGCAATACAACAAATATTTTAATAATTTAAATGTTAAATACTACATTCCAGTAATGACAGTTACATTATTATTACATTATTTTATTAAGGTAATGAGTTTGGGATAATTGGGGAAAAACAAGCTTAATTTTTCTTGAACAAAATATAATTTCTTTATTTCCTTTTTTTTATATATTAGGATTAAACATGACCTAATATCATGAGATATTCTTTACAGTTTTTGTACCCAGAAAAAAAATTATAATAAATTGCAGGTACAATACCGTTCAAACAAGATCCTTTTTATGTTTTTGAATAAATTCTTTCATGCTCACTAAGGATGCATTTATTTGATCAAAAATATAGTAAAATAGTAATATTGTGATATATTGTTACAATTTAAAATTCATTATTGTTACAATTTAAAACTGTTTTCTATTTTAATATATATATAAAAAAAGCAGCCATTACCGCAGTTTGCTGTAACACATGATCCTTCAGAAATCATTCTAAAATGCTGATTTTGGTTATTAACATTAAAAATTATTGTGCTACTTAATATTTTTGAAACTGTAGTATATTTTTCAGGATTCTTTGGTTAATAGAAAGTGCAAAAGAACAGCATTTATTTGAAATAGAAATCTTTTGCAACATTATAAATATTTTTTTATTAATTTAATGAATCATTGCTGAATAAAATCTGTTTAAAAAATCTTACTGACCCCAAACTTTGGAACTGTAGTGTATATATAAATGACACATATATAAATGCCCTTGCCTGTTATTGCCCTCCAGGCTGTAGTAGACCGAGTAGGTGACATCATCTCCATGCGGTTCAGCAGGAAGGCGCCAGGTCAGCTTGATGAAGCGGGTGGAGACCAGGGAGGCCACAACGTCACGGGGGGCGGAGGGCGTGGGACCAGCACCGCCTCTGGAGCCTGGTATTAGACGGTCAGTAGTGGCACGGGTCAGTGAGGTGGGAGGGGGGGAGGGGATGGCTACATCTTTGAGTGCAGACAGTGGAGGGGGTGAGTGAAAGCAGAAATCAAGGGTGGAGACGGGTGCACAGTGAAGTCACACAGAAATTCAGGGAGGGAGGGATGGAGAGCAAAACAAAGGAAAACAGAACAGAGGGAACACATAAAAAAAGAAAAAAACAAAACAAAACAAAAACCATAACACAATGGCTTCCATGACAGGATATCAACAAAACAGTGAAATAATCACAAAGAAATATGAAAAATGCAATCATAACGGAAGAATGTCGGGCATGTAGTTGGAGAAAAACGGCTGAAGTGGAAAAAATGATGGAAAGCTGAATCGCAGGAGGCATATTTTGGACTTTTTCACTCTTAAGAGAGTAGTTCACCTCAAAATTAGACCGACATTAACACACAATTTGCAATGTTATTCACTAAAACTATTGTATAGCTATCAAATGGCATTTTCACATCAAATTGCATTTGCACTTCAAATGAAGCCAAATGCACTTGGTTTCTTAACTACATGCCAAGGCTTCATAACTATGTGCTGTACATATGCACAAATGAGACTTCAGCATCAATAGCTGGGTTTCCATCACCCTGCTTTTATGCGCATTTTGAAGTATCACATCAGAATCGAGTGATGGAAACGCTGAATTTCGAATAAAAACACCTTAATTCGCAAAAAAAGTTTTTACGCTCGCTTGAGGTGGTTTTTGACCCTTTTGCGAAAAAGGGTTAATGCGAATAATGGGAGATGGAAATGCATTTTGCGAATAAATTCCTCCAAGCGCATCAAAAAAGTCATGTGACTTTGCGCTATGGGACGGCAAATTCTGACTAACCAGCGGACCGATCTCATTCACAGTATCTGAAATGTTGTTATGGTTATTCGGAAATGCCAGAGCAAAGTCTGTCATCAAAGTATTTCTGTATAATTGCCTCCCAGAACTGTTAAACGACTGCGTTCCCAAACAGCAGCATCCACCTCCGAAAGCAATTACCGCATTCATTGTGTTTCGTCTGCTCGTTCTGAGGTGCAAGTAATTTATTATATAGGACAATTATTTCAGTAGCTTCTCCTACTTTTCTTAGTGATGTATAGTGCCAGTTTATCAGGAAGTGATGATTTTGTTCTCTTTGACTCGTTGGATGGAAACGATGCTTGTTCCCAAATGTTTTGTGCGATATTCCAATTTTGCGCACAAGTTAAATTCGCAACTTTGGATGGAAACCCGGCTAATGACATCAAAAACCTTACATGGTGCTGCTTCTTGCATTTGTCATATGGTTTGGATGTAGGTGAGTAAATGAATAAAAAGATTTCTAAACAACTATTCTTTTAAGTGTAGCTGGGAAAAATCCAAGCTAATCCAAAGGCACAGAGGCCATCCTTTTTAATCACTAACATACGTCTAGAAGTCCAAGGCTTTAGATCTTCACACAGATATGCAAAATATTTCATGCTGAGGCCTCTGTGGTTAAATCTAAGGACGTCGGACTGTTGTTTTCTACCAGTGGAGTGAAACTCAACACAAAGCAGCTCGTGTCAAGATTGTTTGCTTTTGTGGACTGCAATAAAGTTGCGCTTTTGGCAACAGCAACTCTTTGAATTAAACAAACTGTGTTTCATTTGCATCTGCCAAAACATGCAGCTGTGGAAGGACTGAACATCAATCAAATATAGTAGGTATGATTGACGTACCGTGCGATTCAAATGTGATTCGTTGACTGTGGTTGACAATAACATGAGTAGGCAATAAAACGTCTAAAACAAGTAACACTATGGTCCTTTTTTCTCTATGCCAACCAGACTGAAACACAATCAGCACGCAGCACCAGAGAAAATATCTCATCTCATTTACATTCAAAAATCACGTCAAAAAGATCATTAAAACTTATGAGCTTCATGATTCAAAAGGCAGAGATTTTCTGAAAATATCTTTCTCGCTCAAAAAAAAAAAGACATGATTGTGGACTTGTACAGGAAATAAAACTCACAGATGAAAACAATAAAACCAAAAAATGGGGATTGGACAGAAATGGATTGCAAGAAACCAAAGTACGGAATCAAAAATCAGGGATTTTAATATGAACTCAAACTAGGGATGTTCATTTCAGTTATTTTTCCTAACTGACAACCAACGCTCGTTACCCGATTGTTAACTGTTAACCGACAAGATTATTTTAAATTAGAACTGAATTAAATTAGAAAGGATAAGTGTCTGTGACCCGTTAAAAAATACTAACATTTGTTTCCCGGGGATTAATTTTACATGCGCAAAAAGCAGCAAACAACAGAACATGAGGATTCCCATGGTCATCATATAGGCTACGCACCTGCAGCGCTTCTGCGAGCGGTAGCCTATAGCCTATATAACAAATAAATAGGCCTATACGAGAAACATGTTTTTACTTAATAAATTAATAAAATGAAAGAAAAACTGTGCAACAAGTAGCCTATATGCAGAGCTTAGGTTAAATTTTGTGCTGCGCGAAAGGAAACAGACGGCAGAAAGCGACATCCTAGTTAACCGGTTAAAATGAACATCCCTAACTCAAACAAAGATCTGATTGTCTGAACTGTGTTTATATACAAACAGCTATACACTATTACTGTATGTCAACAATAGTCTCATTTGTTTTTTTTATATACCCAAAGGAATTTTAGGAGAAACATAACATAAAATGCATTTCCAATAAGTCTCCTGAGCTATGAAAGAGCAAACTCTGAACAATACAGTTTCCCTTTGCTAGTTAACTGAGGGTTTAAAAGCACCATATAATGCTGAAAAAAGAACAGCAAGATGCATTATGTTCAGATGTGCTCTTCGAATTACTTTCTTATTCTGAACCGCATTCAGCTCTGAACAGACAGTGGGAGAAGAGACTGATAATGCAGACCTGTATAATATACACTAATAGCGGCACTCATTAGCTTATAGCTTCCCCTAAATGACAAGATCCATTAGACGGAGAGCAAATTAAACATTAGTTGTAGCAATTCCAGTTTTCCACAAAGACGAGCCATCAATGTTCATCTGTCTAGCCGCAGGGAGAAAAAAAAAATCATATCATTCAGCATTTATCTCTGGTTCAGCTTTGTGTGGTGCGTGACATTCTCTCTGTAGTTTTTCTTCTCCCTCTGGTTCAGTCAGTTCACTTGGCAGCCAATTTGCAGCTGTTTTCTAGTCATATATAGTCAAATACAGTTTTAATGAACTTGATTATGGAAAGAATGCCAAAACATGCATTCAAAAACATGTCAAATCATCACTGTATCATAAAAGTAGCTCAAATCAGGCTCCGGCTAATCTGCATTTGCATTCTAGACCAGGCAATGGCTGTTCTAGGAGTTCTTTTTTACATGCTATCATTCAGAATTCAATACTAACGTAAGGCTTATTCTGCAACATACACTGAATACTTCATTTGAAAGTTCTCACAATGTTAAAGGGATAGTTCACCCCAAAATGAAAATTCTGTCATTATTTACTCACCCTCATGTCGTTCTAAACCCGTAAAACCTCCGTTCATCTTCGGAACACAAATTAAGATATTTTTGATGAAATGTGAGAGCTCTCAGACCCTGCATAGACAGCAACGCAACTGTAATGTTCCCAGGTCCAGAAACGTAGTAAGGACATCGGTAAAACAGTCCATGTGACATCAGTGGCTCAACTTCAGTTTTGCGAAGCTACGAGAATACTTTTTGAGCGCAAAGAAAACAAAAATAAAATTTTTTTCAACAATTCTTCTCCCCCGAGTTACGTCTTACGCCATTTTAGAGTATCACAATGCATACGCATGCTTTCCCCTAAGCGTAAACAACGCTGATTACGCAGATTACGTTCATGCGCGTGCTTTCTCCCCCGAACGTAAACAACGCTGATTACGTCGATTACGCTCTTGGGTACTCTCCAAAATGGCGGAAGACGTAACTCGGGGGAGAAGAATTGTTGAAAAAAATTTTATTTTTGTTTTCTTTGCGCTCAAAAAGTATTCTCGTAGCTTCGCAAAACTGAAGTTGAGCCACTGATGTCACATGGACTGTTTTACCGATGTCCTTACTACGTTTCTGGACCTGGGAACATTACAGTTGCGTTGCTGTCTATGCAGGGTCTGAGAGCTCTCACATTTCATCAAAAATATCTTAATTTGTGTTCCGAAGATGAACGGAGGTCTTACGGGTTTAGAACGACATGAGGGTGAGTAATTAATGACAGAATTTTCATTTTGGGGTGAACTAACCCTTTAAGGCCTCTTTACACCAACAAGAATGTTCGATCCAATTTTTGTGAATCGATGCATAAAAAATGACAGCGAAGATGAATGAAATGACAGCACTGTGAACTTTTCATATCTGACATCCACTTGCCACAGAGAAGAAAGTCAAACAATATTAACGTTTCAAAGTGTACGATTTTTTTTTAATTCTCTATGGTTTTTATCAAACAACACCAAATGCAAGTGTACAGAGACAAGAGAGACATAGCTTTATGTAACCGTAGCACCTCTGGGCACATGAAGAAATAAATCCTATTGGTCGGCCAGTTTTGTTCACAATGCGATGGAAAAGAGATTAGAACAGCTCTCCGTAAAAAAAATTAAAAATGTTGCATTAATGGCATGTGAATGTTTGTGTCAGTTTCAACAGACACATTAACAACCAACCATTCATTCAAATGGCAATGTTTATCATGCCACATATTTTGCACTGAATATTCATCTTGGTGTGAACAGAAAGAAGTTTTTCAGTTGTTTCTGGATTTTCTGGATCTGCCTCTGCTTTTCACTGTATTTTAGTAAAACAGTCTGTTCATGAGCACCACAAAGTCATAGTTTTATGTAACAGCAGTGGCTCTGGGCATATGACCGAATCTAATTGGACGGCAAGTTTTCTTCACAGTGCGCTTGAACAGAAATTAAAACACCTTTCCTTAAAAAAAAATGACGGCATGTGAATGTTCGTGTCTCAACAGACACATTAACAGCTGTTCATTCTAATTACAATGTTTATC